TTCTACAAAAATTTTTCTTTTCGCAAATGTTTTTTACCGTTTTGATAATTTTTCTTAAATTCGGGAAAATGATTAGGAATATGGTACCATTCTTTACACTTTCCAAACTATATATTATATATACATATTTACCACGAATAAGAAGCCAATAATATTCAGAATTCATATAATGAAATTCCGCTTGGTACCTTCCTTTTATCTGTCTGTATATTAATGTCCGCAACTGTATTTATAAAATCATACATAAGCAAACGTCAAATATTTAAAAATGTGAACGTCAAACATATCTCGTTGTGGTAATGGAGGCGGTTGTGATTTAGCAACTGGATTTATTAAATCTTAATGGATAAATCTCTCAATGGAGACATAGTATAACCGTTTATTATTGGAAAAAAAGTTTCGGTTTGACACAAATAAAAATTTACTCGATGTTTGTTGTGTTTACTTTCTTCTTTTATTTGCATATATTAAGCATAAAAAATACGTACATATTTACATAAATAGTTACTAGTGTAAATAATGCGTATGTATATGGTGGTAAGAATTTCCTAAAAAGAAATGATGAAACAGGAACAGTCGTGCGAAAACCCAGGTCAATATCTGCTGGAAGAGTACTGCTTTGCTTTTTCCTTGGCGAAATAGAAACTTTCAAATTATAATTCACATGAATTATATGTATATCCACTGAAAAACCCCGGTTGGCATCAAACTTTATATTTTTAAATAACTTGCGCGCACTGAAACAACTCGCGGGGATCGAAAAACTGGAACTGAGATTGTGTGAGACTGTGCATTTGCTGAGAGAGCGCTCATCATTATTTAGGGGTGGCTCACAAGCATTAATGTGTTCCACTCTCAAACCAAATCGTGGTTGCCTCAACTATGACTAGACCATGTGCTGAAAGAAAGCTTATCTGCATTAGCAGAGCTTAATAACATCCTTTTATGAACCATACGTTAAGTTGAATGAAATTTGTAGAAATATGCTTCAAAGAAATATTTATTAGTATTAACCAAACCCTGAATGATGAATATTACAAGCTTTAATATATTTACTTATAATTACCAATCCATGGTAATAGTTCCCAATCCTTGGTAACAGTTCGCAAATATGACGGCGAATACCACAGATGCTGGAACTATAAGCTTTACA